AGGTATAGGACATATTTTGTGTGTACCCGCCAGGCTTGTGCTTTCTGCAGTAGCATTCATCGTTGCTTACCAATGAAAAATTGATCCACATTGCTCTCTTGGCCTCGTCGCCGGTTCCATTTTTCAATTTCTACCATTTTTAGTTCTCCCTGCGTGTGCAAAAACGTTTTGTTAGGAATCGAACAAAAAAAAATCGTACGACATCTTCCTAATCCGAAATTTTGATGTGTTTTTTCGTGTGCGTTGTTGACATGCTCGTATGAGATACACAACTGATCTGAAAAAAGTCCTTAACGTAACAAGCAGTTGGCTTTATGAATGTTAGGATAACGTGATCGATACGACATGGCGTTTTAGCATCACCCTACTACTGACACGTGTCGTGGTGTCCATAGTGTCATGCTCGAATGTGGCCACCAAATGGCAAGTTCATCATCGCTTCCCTTTTTTTATTTACAGATTTGACAGCGATAGAAGGATAGCGGATGTTGCCCGTAGCTATAATAATATTGTTGTGATCGAGTGCCATGACAGATTCGTCAGCGATCGCGCATCACCGAAACGTGGACGCAGGTCGGTCAGGACATTTACAGGTCGGCTCGGTTGATCAAGTCATTCTACTTCTGGCTCATTGAGCGTCCGCTTTGGCACATCAACGTAGCTTTTCTTCTGACTATCTGTTCCAAGGAGAGAAGCTTCTGAGCCAAATTTCACCTGGCCACTTGGCCTATTATTGTGCATCTTGGTAGGGGCGGTCTTACTGACTGTTGTTACTGTGGCAACGGTGTCGTAGGTCACGTTGATATCGTCCATCATTGTCAAAGCTAGTAAAGCTTCGTCACGCTTTTCCATCCAACACACCTCCATCGCAGGCTTCCGATACAGGATTCACGCATTTATGAGGGGGCTCCATTTTGTTTGTGGTAGTCATGGCGCGCGCACGTTTAAGACATGCGACGAGAACGTTTTTAGCGTCAGAACTGATCGACAACGCAAGCGACATCACCACAGAATGATGGTATATAGAACTCTGTAATGGAACTTTGGTAGTATTAACTCTAAGTAGTGATATTACTTTTCTTTATGTGAATATGGGCATGTACTGAATTTGTCAATCGTCAGCGATTTTTGCCAGCAACGAAGGCATGCGACTGACTTTTCGGTAACGTGTCACGTCAACGAAACGTTGAAAGTAACACCTGCGACCCCGTACGAAGATAGACAGTGAAGAGCATTGGGTGACAGATCGCAAAAGGCAACAGCCATCTGAACAACAGGTTTGAGGGCTGGCGCTGCTTGTGCTCAATGAATTATAATTCTTTTGCCAGTATTACAGTAATTTGCATCACCCCCGCGAATACACTCATCATTTACATCATGATATTTGCAAACCTTGTTGGTCTGCGTCGTTTACATTTGCTGCGGCTTGCATTATTACAGGGGTGTGGGTGCAGCATAACCCTTGTGTTATAAGTTTTCCAACAACACAACACGCAGTTCGACAGATTGACTGGGAGGTACATGACTGTTAAATTGAGTGATGCTGCCTAACATTATAGTTGTTTCTATGCGATTCTTGCACAGACGGGTGTGCGGGTACGCACTCATTGCTGTACTATTATTACTCAGGATGGTCGCGATTCATGGCCGTCGCAAGTGGGGGCGAGGAAGTCTATGGGTCGCAGAGCGAACGGCGCTGGCTCTCGTAAGGATTACTTTGACAATGATGATCGGGCCATTACTAAGAATAGCTCAAAGTTAATCTTGTACGTGTAGAGTTAAGATAGAAATGCGTTTTATTGCGTTATCAAAGCATGATGAGTTTTATGTTTTGTCATAAAACAGAAAAGCCATGAAATTACGCCAAAGTTGCCGTTGTAATAAACTAACTCTAGTATCTACTGAGACAAAAAGCAATTGGTAAACAAGACAAATATTATGGGCATGTCGTGACAGGTAACACATGTGGGATATTTGTGTACAGCTGTATATAGGCAATTAAGGAAATTGTTGTTTATTAATATTACTTCTAGTACAATTGCAAGCGATATACAGGGTTAGACTTTAACAGGGTGAATTTTATCACGAATTTGGGAGAAAGTTGTAAATTGTCGACTGCAAAGCAGACGGTATTGTTTCTATCGCTAAACGTCACAGATTTATTCATCAGGTTGAATAGGAAACCATGAAATCAATCCCGAATATTCAAATGATATCAAACCCACTGTATAAAGCTATCACAAATTATCAACAAAAATATAGCAGTTTAATAATTGCCATATTTTTTTTTCAATTAAAAAATGCCTAGCATGCCCTTGTCAGTGCATGCAGGTCTGGTTTTTACTTCATCTATCCCAGAATATTGGGTAGGTTTCAAGGTAGTAAAGGAGATCATGGTCTCTCATATCATTGTTATTGCCATTACTAAATCTGCAAGTAGTGATAAAAGTATTGCCCAAAAAGAACAAACGAAGTTTCAATAACCTCTCTTCTTTGTGCCGGTTTGGCAGGACCGATAGATAGCCAGTCCCGTGGGTCCGGAGGCTGCGTTTATATATATGTATATATATATACACATATGAGAAATGTGAAGAAGAACTGTTGATGTGATATTTGTCCCTGGCTTATTTACACCCGCCTCAGTTACGCAGCGTAGTTACTTTTCAACGACAGCAATAGTGTTCTTCATCACCATTTAGACTCTTCTGCTTTGAAATTTGCTAGAAGCTAAATAAGTGAAAGGTAGGGCTCGATAATTTTCAGTTAGCCTATCTATATACTATAGACTGCTAAATCTGGATAGCTGAGTGTAACGTGAGAAATTGATAACACACATAAACAGATAAAGCATAAAATGGTTGATGACATAATTTTCGGATTGACTATTGCAATGTAAAATTTTTGCTCCCTTCAATTAAACTAACTTTTATGCCATTTAGAATTGTTCTTGAATTTATTTAATTTTTCATGAATCAAATTCTTCAATTAGAAGGTTACACACCGATCCTATAACTTAACCGCTATTATATAGCTTATTAGACGAGTTATTAGACTCAGTTACTTTGTTTGATAACTTTGAAACCTGTCAGGTTCAACGAATAATGATTCGTTGTACTAAGCCGCTCAGTTGTTTTCTATGATCAAGAAGATTCAACGATTCTAATTATCTTGTTTTAATTGTCACCGAGTTTTATTATAATTTTATCATATAAATCCTAAATAAATAGATAAATAAAATAAATAGACAGTCATGTCGAATCACTTCTGTTTGATGATAGAGCAAATAATCTTAGATAACAGGTTTTTTTTATACAATATGTCTATAATGGCCAGCTAGCGATTAGTTAGCAACCAGCTAGCAAAAATGCAGAACGCTGGACGTCTACTAGAGCATTACTACCAATTAAAACAGTGTTTATATGTGAAATATTGTTGACATTCCATCGAAACTCTTCATGACGCGTAAAACTCTTAGTAAGTTTTGTCTTTAATGCTTGGAAACGCACGATGGACCTGTATTTTTTGACTTGCAAGCTTTGTTGTCCTAATTCCAGCCTGGCAAACTTCGAGCTTTGAAGAATTGTCTACTGATCAAATCTCCCTTTGAACAAACCTCTTCCATAAATATATCTATGAAACTGCATAAGGGCAAAATAAATTAAACATTCGGTTATTAGATCTTCTTTTGCTGATAAAAAGATTAAGGAAAGGCCATCGTACATCATTACCGTGATACCGTCAATCGGCTCTGTTCATTGACAGGGTAATAAATTACTGCCATCGTTGCCATATTTATATTGGACTATAATGCTATATTATTCGATATAACCAGGTGCTTTCACGCGGCCAAAGCATCTTAGTTGGCACGACATCAAGGATGTAATAGGGCACGAATTACGTTTATCATTGCTTAAAACTATCTGTAACAGATCGACGAAGGACAATATCGAATAAGGCGAAAAATTGGTTTAGACTAAAGTACCTAATGCCTGTTGTGCTCAGGCCGTCCGTTTCAGCGCACCTCAGAGCCAATAGGCGGATTTGGAAGAATAAGAAGAAGTCAGGATCTGGATCATGGCAGTCAATCAGGATCATGTTGAAAGTGAACATAATCATAAATAATATAAAGCAATGAATATTCCTAATCAATTACATTGCGGGATTACGCTTGTAGTGTATTTAGTACTATGGAACTAACGATCGCTTTTAAATAATTACTTGTATTTGATAGTTATCCTACGCGTTACGCCTAATGAAACAACGACCTTACATAGGCTCTAAATGGAGCGTGGCCCTTAAACGTCCGAGCTTAGATTATTCAACGGCGTCGCGAGAGTGTGACGATCCGCTTGACACTTTTAATTGGTTGATCTACGCCAACTAGTTGGGAGGCACAATTAAGCCTGTGGTTATTTGACAATGATCTTCGCTAGTTTTAGGTAGAGAACCACTTATACGACATATTGTCACAATCTACACATTTCGCCACGTGTGTTTTTGATCTAACGGTAATTACAGACAGAAGTAGACAAACCAACATAAAGAAATCCCATACAAAAATTATTAGCTTTTCGTAATGCTCCTCCAATTTGTTTCAGGCAGTATTTAGTGTACAAACAGTAAACTGAAAATAATTACGTTGAAATTGAACTCCTTTGAAACAAAAACCGCCCGCTTCCGAATATTTTAAGCACTGAACGTTATTTACGTCATAGAAAATAAAGTTCTACAATTTCCTGGCCGGATTGCTAAAACATAATCTAAAAACATATTCCTGTTTTGTCCTTCATTTCTACCCGTTATTGTAATTTTTACTGGCTATTGTACGTTCTACAAAATGATGTCGAGCATTATCTCCTTACCCCCTACTTGATTTATCACAAAAGCGCGTAAACAATGCGTATGGACAGCGACATCGTATCGCGCCTTTTATCAGCGTCTATTAATATGATGCTAACGATGGGCGGAATATTATCGTCTTCTAATTTCCCATTATGTAGTTGTCCCACATAACAGCTTCACAGAAAGTTGCTAGCTACGCCATCCAGTGAGAGCCGTGTGAAGCTATAGACTGCCTTGGAAATTTTAAGGGGCAAGATCCTGCAAGGTCGACAATTTGTCGAAGCAGCAGCTGCATGGCCCTAATGCCATTATACTATCGACAGGTGTCTGATTGAAGTTGTGAGGGCAGGTGCAGCGGGCGCTCTGGGGTAAGCGCGTTAAGCCGATTCTCAAGAAAGGGTCCTGCGTAACAAAATCGCTTCGTAAGCGCCTTTCCGCTAGTCTTAGCCACTGAATCTACGTCCGTACGGGTCACGTTGCGTCGTATCGTGTTATCTGTGTGTTGTGCTTGTTTGTGTGTAGAGGGATACTCTTGTGCGCTTTGTTGTATATTAGCAATAACACATCACGTATAACAGCAGGCATCGCAGTGAACTTTGATAACGTGCCATATTGTGCATCCCTACGTTAGCTTAGCTTTTGGCCAGAACCTAGTCAGCGGTGGTCAACAACTTGAACGACAGCGCGAAGAATAACAGCAGATACTCTTGATTCGAACTTCACTATACGAATCATCATCGTAATTGAATTCTAACGTTTTAGAGTTCGAATAATCATAACCGGGAACTCAGCGCACCCAGAACGAAAAGCGGGCAGGCATGAATACCTACAGCGAGAAGTCGTTTTCCGTTGTGTCGGTTTCGAAGAGTCCGTCGATTTCGTTGGGGTCGGAGAAATCGAGCCCACCGGCGACCAAGAAGTCGACGCCGGGATCTCGTTTTGGCTCGGGTTCGCCATCGTCATCGCGAGGATCCTCCCGTGGCTCGTCAAGCCGCAGTGGTCGCGCCTCCACCACGCACTCGTCGACGTCCACCGACATCTACGGTTCGTACGACCCATTCTACTCACAAAAGCTAATAAAGAGGGAGTTCGAAGAGGTATCGTGCCTGCGTCTCAGCAACTGCGTCGCTGTCATCGGAGTCCTTAGCATGGTAAGCAAGTGACCACAACGCTAAAAAAGGCAAGCGTTGCCATGGCAAGTAGCGCGCGTCTGAAATATGATGGAAAACACATGCTGGTGGGCGAAACGAAACTGATATCGCATTGTCGACACGAGTTAACCCACACATACGATGACATACATTCTGTCGTTACTGCCGCATTCGTAACGCTCGAACAAGCATTACGGCCGTCAAGCAACAGTATAACTGACAGGCATCGTAGAGTAAACAACGACAAACAAATACTAAACAAAGTGAATACGCAGACACCGACATCAAAATATAGTTTAAAATATCCTATACATCCATGTAGCAACAGCAGCAGCAGACAGAGAGCGAAACGATAAAATACGAAAAAAAAAAAAAAAAAAAAAAAACAAGCGTATCGCTATCCGCTAAAGACGAAAACGCCAAGGGAATTTTAGCAACGGCAATAAGTATGTCGCCTGCTAAACGATACGTTTTGAGATCGAGGTTTTTTCTAAGTGTAGCTTACTGGTAGAATTAAATGTGTTATAGTATTTAGCTGTACCTGTGTGATTAAGTGCCATTTCAAGGAATATTTAAATCTTTGTAGAGGAAACGAAGTCAGGGATGGCGTACAGATCTCCGATTGACTGATCTACTCGGCGAGAAAAGTTGAGTCAAAATATCTATAACGAAATCAGTCTAATTTGAGTGGATTTCTACTACAAATCACTGGAATTGTGTGCAATAAAACTGAAACGCATACGCAGGTCGGTATTTCAACAGAGTAATCCATTATGGCCACTCCCTAAATAATAATATATCTAAATAAATAGGGTTTTAAACTATTCAACTTTTTCAATAGGATTCGTGTAGGGAAAAAGTTGTTTGAAGTAAGTATCTCCTCTACGCCAATCGTAGATAAGCAGAACATAATTTCCATTTTCGGTTGAAACGTATTTTCGCTTGAACAAATCGAAACCACTGAAGGTTTACTTGAGATCTTATTTTAAATGGAACCAACCTTCCGTTAAAGTTGAAGAATTATTAGGATATATTTACATGTCTTTACCAAATGTGGATACGAACTCTATACGGAGCACCTTGCAAAATTGAGCAATTTAGTACACCTTCATTTCGACGCCGGGTACACGCCACGACAGTGTGTCGAGTTTTCAACGTTGTGAGATTCCGTTGTTCTGTTAAAACGAAAAAAATCAACAATGTTGAAGTAGCTTTGTCATAAATCTAATAGAATGTCGCACGTTTCAGAATTATAACACATAATTATTATATCTATGTATTCGGTAATAAAAGGCTTGCATTTGATGTTTTTCCTCGTGCAGAGAAGGAAAAAATAGGGGGCGTATATGTGCAACGAACGAAGGTGGGTTATAATACCTCCGCGAACGAAATAGTGATGATTTTTTTCCACCTCGTTCTACTTGACGTCCGAATGGAACCGTTTCGATATCAGCCATTTTGTCCTCCGGTCAAATTGGTCCGGACCAATAAAATACATTTACTTGACTCGGCTTGTTTAAAACTCGATACAATAACCTAAAGCTTAATTAAATAAGTAACTTATAAATCGCACTTACTTCTCAGTAAAAGCGATAACTGTGAGTGTCCAAATCGAATTGAAGTTCTGTCGATGTTTGCTATTCGTTCTATACGTAACCACCATCGAAAGAACCGAATTCAGCGGAACGACAATTATATTTACCCTTCTATTCGTATTGTTAGAAATACGACTATAACTTATTTTTCAAAAGACAAGGTATATGATATAATGAATGGAAAAGGATCTTTTCGACCATACGTTATATGGTTCCGCTTCATGAAAGAAAGGGTTAAAGGATGAGCTAACGGGCGGCGAAAACTATATGCGGAAACGAACGAAAATAGCGATTTACACAATTTTCACCAGATACGCGTAATGGCCTGGAATAGAGCCACAGTCGAGTAAAATTAAAACGAAAAAAATTAATTAAAACGCTATTGGTAACTTTAATAGCGAGTGTTTAGAGTTAATGACTCTAGGCTACTTTCCTGATAATCAGCAGAGATTTTGAGGTAGATACGCCAAGGAAACATAAATCGTTTTCAGTGAGTCCTATTTTTATTCACTCGCCTAAAAACAGTGCTATTTCATAGGAGATGGCTAGTGTTGAAGTTTTGCTTACAGATTTTTCTGTCTTTTTTTTTTTGTGAACCGATTGTCAAACGCTTGGTTTTACGATTAATGCTGACAAAACGTACGGATAAGTAAACATTGAACAAGATGATTTTCAACGAAGTTACTCCTCGACTCCGATCAACACGAAGTCGACAAAGTCCGATCCTAGAGCTCTAGAGAAAACTCATTGACAAACTCCTGGAACGTTTCTTCGTTATCGCAATTATCACATCTGCCTATGGATCTATTATATTAAGTCGCGGCTAACCGTCTACCTATCCAAACTTAACACTTTTCGCCCTTTACTTTGCACCATGTTTCTTAAAGGCTCGTTTTTGCATATGAAACGTCGTATTTCCTTGCAACTATGTATGCCCCGTGTGAATCACTGTGACTCGTGAGTCGTCTCAGCCTCGTTACGAAGCAGTTTGTTGCCACCAATCTCTACCACTTAAACATTAGCGAACGTAATAAAACAATGATGTCATATCCTTTATCTGTGGTTCTATTTTTCTTCTGGCGTTAGAAATCGCCGTTATACTATGGATTATTCATAAAAGTTTGCTAAAAAACATGCTAATCTTTAAAATTTGTCTCCGAGCCATTTACGCGTTGTTCCACACCATTCACGGTCCACCAATTGGCTTTTCAAACGATAGTCTCCTTGTCGTTGCACCAATTGATAGCTGTGTATTTTCAACGTGCCCCTTGTGTCGAGGGTCGGAGAATCAACATTTGCTATAATACCTCCAGTTTGCCATGGAAATTGTGTTGTTTTTTTTGCCACTGAGCGCATTCAACAGTCGACGACGGTATTTTTAACCGCAGGCCGATATAAAGGTTCCGATGTGAAGAAGCGATGCGGCCTGAGTGAGTTGTGATATATCGCATCGTATATTCGTTTATACATCGCCTTTTGTCGACTGAACTGAAGGCAAATTTATCAAGTGATAAAAAAAAAACAGATATCGATTTATTCGCCTTTGGCCATTGATCGGCCACGTTATTAGCGAGAGAAAATCGATTAGGTCACTTGTCTCGCTCTTTGAAAGTCAACCAAATCCAAGCTGCCCTGGAACTGCGATACTTGTCTGGTTGTATCAGTATTCAATGAGATTTAGTAATCGTTGTGACCATCAACTCTTCAGAGCCAACCGTAAAACTAATAGTATAATCTACCTTTCAGCTCCTAAGTGTGAACGATTCTCATGTCGCTAGATTGCGTGTCAACCTGCTAACCTAAATGCATGTTAGGTGGTTTAGGTTCGAAATCGGGCCTAAACATATTTCGCCTCATGCTGGAATGATCCAGTTGATCTGAAGCAACACCTAACTGCAGCTTCACTACCAGCTGAATAACCCGGAGCGTTTATTTAGGTCTCGCTTACTGAAGACACGTTTACTTGTTTATCAGCGTGTAGAAATTCAGCGATCATTATGGTACATTTTTATTTATCTATTTACTACTGTGTCTGCTGTATCTGCTTGGCATGATCACCAAGCTAGTGCATAGTACGTGTGCCCCAGACCAACTTTCGGGATCAAGCCGTAACAAAGTACCAAAGTTATCCGAGAAATTAGGGGAAGTTAAATAGCGTCTGACAATAAAGAATGCGGAATACGATCTAAACCTACTGTTAGGTAGTGAACTGATAATAGAGAAGACGGAAACGATAAGGTATATACAACACTGTGCTGAAAAATATTGGATTACTCAAGTTCGCTGGTTCGAATCGAGTGTCTGCGCACGCATCAACGTACTACGGTGGGTGACCCTGAAACAGGACTTTTTTTGCATTAGTAGAATGGAGCCAACTGGACTATAGGGTTATACTTTAGTGAAACTCTTGGTCCTCGAAGCAGGCTGCGATTAGCTTGCCTTCATTTAGGACATCATGCTCATACATATTATTGGTATTTCTGCAAACGTTGTATTATCATACATCGTGTAAAGGAGCGCTTGTCGATCTGTAGGCAATAGCCCGTTACGGTCATTACATGTTGCTATGTTCGCCTCCTTTCTAATGATGTTTGCTATCACAAGGGAACGCCCTTGTTCACTGATTAAACGGTGCTTTTAAAGGAAAATACATATCTTACGTTTGATAACAGTGCAGCTCATATCTAAGTGAATAAATACTAGCACGATATGGTAGTGAGCAACGCACCGGCACCACATACTTCGTCAGTGCTACGGAATTAAAATAGCCAAATTTGTACTATATGTTCGATGGTATCTGGTACTATAAAGTCGGGCTAATTGTTGTCTTGTTGTTACTACCGATACCACTTTTAAAATACCATCATTTTCATCTCTATTAAACCTCTTTTGGCGGGAACAAAACGCCTATTTGTTTAGTTTCATAATAATTACTTTTCGTTAAAATTTGTAAATTGGCAGAACCTCCTACTTACGCTTTTTCAATTAGAGGCAGGGTATAAGTGAAGTATGATCATACAAACAAGCAGATATAATTTTGGCAAGAATTTCTGTACTGGCGTATCTTTATTTGCAACAAATGCTATTTTCTATACAAGGGTGTGGCGCACACAAGGGCAGAATTCGCCGTTCCAAAGTAAATTTGTTTTTTTTGTGTATATCGCCGATGCTGGACAGCGATAACGGGCAGCCATGTAAACGCATTAACTCTTGTAATATAGTCTAGACCTTATTCAGGCCAGACTGTTTTGTTTCACTCCAGCCATTTTACAACTTAGCATGTGAGGTGATTACCTACAAAGTTTGCGACGGCATCTTATAATTGATAGCACTGATAATCTGCAGAAGAACCCTTGCGATGACCGTTCAAAGAATAGATTCATCCAACTGCCACCATAGTCGTAA